CACAGGTGCGGTCATCTTGGCTAGTTTAGTTCCAATAATCTCCCAGATAGGCTGACTAATAAGTGCATGAATATAAGGACGACAAGAATGGGTACAGCGAATTTAACGCGTTAAACCGAAGATGATTAGAATTGACATGAAGAATAGACGCGTAAATGTAAAGATGATAATAATGTGTAGAGCAGTCAAACGGGCTGGTTTACTTTATTTACTACGACTGGCTCCTTGGGAAAGGTAAGTCGACTCCAGACATGATCATGATCATGGAGTTCCTTGGGAGGTTGATACGAGAGACGTTCCCGGCGGCACTCGGCGTTTTTTTATTTTGAGGGTGCACCTCTAGTCTGCAAAACTAAGTGCGAACTGCAAGACAGCAGGAAATAATCCCTTGCCTCGGAATTGAGGGAGATCAATAACTTTTAAAGGCCAGTCACATCGACCTTTGTCACGACACTGTCATTGGGCTTATGCGGCTTTTAAACGGGAGCCAGATGACCAGCCTGAAACCCACCACACCCTGAAAGAGCCACCGCTGTTTGTTCGCGACTACTTATTGGTTGCGATATACCGCAACTTATTCACAGCTAACCTTCTTCGGTGAAGATATCCCCCTATCCACAACTCCGGGACGCACCTAATAGCATTCAGCTCTGCTTAGCCCGAGGGTATCCAGGGGCTGGCAATTTGAGTCAGTAAAATTATCATCTAATAACTGCAAGGAATCAACAAACTTGTTTTTGTTCCCCCTTCTACCACTATTCTGTTAATGGTGAATGTTGGAAACATTCTCTATTGACCGTTTCCCAAATACTATGTCAATCACTGACAGGTTAGCCAATAGAGCTACCGTGTCTCTCTGTCTCTCCTAGTACAAACTTTGTCCGGACAGATCACACACGATGACCTTTTTCTAAGACGTAGACCTCACCATGCCTGGAAGGGCAAAGGTTGGAGTTTCCTGGTCCTCCAGGTTGAGGGTTTGACTGGATTTGGTATATCAGTGGGTAAAAAATGATGAAGGAGTAGTCGATCGAAGTAAATAAACTTTCGCTTCACCGTAACCACTACCTTGCTGTTTGGTTCTCGTCAAAACTGAAGGCTTTGGTTGAGCCTTAATCGTTCTCCCTTGACTAGTAGTACCAGTAGTAGTAGTAGTAGTAGTAGCAGTCTTCCTTCCATCTCCTATGAACAAGCAAAATTGAGATAATCTGACACTGCATCACTTATCGCGCAGGATAATCAGAACCGCGCTGTCCGTTGCATCGAGTGGGGTGGGTAGTGATAAACGGGTTTCTCCTTAGGGATCCAAACCTTTGTTTAATTATTTGTCTTCTGTACTTAACCCTCTCCTTTTACCGCTTGCTCCGCTTCAGAACATTCTATCAGAAAACTTGTTTGTCACTCGCCAATGCTCGTTGTCAAATAGCACTACAGATTGTTTACAACCAAATAAATTACAGATTCTAAAGCCTTGTCATCCTCTGTATCTGGGGATCTTCAACACGCGGACTCTCTTGCATGTGGGTCAACAAGCATATCTTGTGTTTGCAATGAGCTTTTTGGCGGTCGACGTGGGCTATCTATCAGAGACATGGTTTGAGGATTCTATTAGTAAATGGCATCTACGGACGTCGGGTCTGTACTCGAGGTATTTCCCTTGCACATCAGGTGACGACGAAGCCGGTTCAGCAGGTGATCGTGGAGTAGACCTGACTGATAGATTGGATGCCCGTCAGAAGTCAGTTGTGTGCATTGAGACTCCAGGGTTTAGTTCGTGTTCGGAAGTGGAGCCAAACTAGAAAAAAGATGTGCGGTTGATCCCGTGATTGCAACTGGAACTGCGTGTGGATCCCCAACAGAACTGGAAATACTAATGTGATGATTTAGTGTGATGATTTTCTGCGTGATGCCTTCAAGGAAGATGCATATTTGCAAACAGTAGGCAAGATTTTGACCAAGTCGCTGTTCTGTTGACTAACTCTGCACCCTGCATCAAGTACTCGAGTTGCTACTTCAAAGAAGCCTTCGGTTCAGCTGAACGCAAAGCCTCAGTGAATTTACTGGTTTATAAACGGATGTCCCGAAAGTATGTAAGCCTTTTGAGATCACTGTATTTGTGTACTTTTTATAGGGTGGGGGTCTACGATCGGCTAAGAAAACCGTTTGAAATCAGCAGCGTCGTTCTTCAAGGATGCCGTATTCTACTATTCCTGTTCAGTTTTGTGCTTACATCATGAGTATTCACTGTGGGTGATAATAAAATGGCCAAATCCGTGCAGCTATCGTTTGCTGAGTGCGCAGAACATTGATAGGTACCAATAACAAAAGTTGTCATCGTAATGTTTTCACTTGTCAACATTTAACACCGCTGGATGATTCCAATTATTACAGAAACCATCATCTAAGACGTGACACAGCTAGTTAGCTAATTCGCTTCCTGAATGGCAATTTTCCAAGTATTCCTGTTTCGATGTAGCATAACGAAATCAATTTTGATCAGTAAGTAGTAGCTCACCAGAGGAGGAGTGCGGGGCGGAGATATCAAACCGGACCATCTGGTTCCAAAGATCGATTTTTGGTCGCATACACAAACAACGACTGGGGACATGCACGGTTAGTTAATGCAACCTAATTGCATGCACTAAAAAAACGAATCGCGTTATTTAGAACCTGGAGATAGATGAGCGGTCAAATGAATGGAACGGTAGATGGCTGTGATCCGTCGACACATCGAGCACATCACGCGTGAAATCACTTTCAGTGGAGATCACGTGGTTGACGCGTTCACTATGGACAGATTTTCAATAAGACTGATTTAGTCACCACATTAACTGGTGTGCAATGCACTCGTGTGATTTCTGTGGACGCCATTCCACACATGGAGACGAGTTGAACAAATTCAACTGGACAGTAAAACAAGTTTAGCTCCTTTAGTTAGAATCTAGCAATCGTTGGTGTCAAACGAATCCGTGGACGAGTAACAGATCATTCCTCGTAACTGCGTAAAACCTCACATCAGTTGGGGAAAAAGAAGCAGTTGCCTTCTGGATTTAAACAAAAGTAAAAACTTTTTCTTTGGAATACAATGTAGCGAACAATACGTGTTTGTATGTTTTTTTTCTCCGTCTTATACATCCCAATTTATATAACTTCGGTAAAAGGGTGGTAGTAGCAAGTACCAGCTGACATATGGTGACAAAAGTAGGTACTCTCTCCTGTTTTCGATTTGGTATCTGGGCCGGATGTAATGATAGTTCGCTTGAACCAATGAAAACAGGGTGAGTTCGGGGCGACGGGAGTCAATGATTTCACTTATGTTTTTTATGTGCCCGAAAGACGAAGCGGAGTGGGCGGTGGTAATGCCGATTTTCATTGCTTTCTCTGTGGTCATTACTCGATGTTTAATCCGCTTAGCTAGCTGTTTGCGGACCTGGGAGGGGGCCAAACGCCCTTCTCAAATCAATCTGATTCCAAAAGGTGTGGACAAATGGCGCTCGTAATTACCTTTCTTCATCCAGCGTGCAAACAAGGCCGATGATGCTCACAAACTCGCTGAGTCAAGTCTCTGCTCACGAAACCGATTTTTTATCTTTAAAAGGAGGTTTTCACACCCCTTCCGGGGATGGTTCAAGCGCTTCTGCTCTTCATTTTCCATTAACTGCTCCACAAATGGTCAGTTTGGGATAATTATCACTGGCAGGCCTACCGGTGGAGCATGTGAGATGGATTGTGTTCTACACTGTTTCCACAATGAAGTCACTGACACATTGCTCCGCTTGTCTCTCAGTATGGGTCATTTTGGTTACTACAACAACAGGCACTGTGCAGATAAAGTCATACCAATCACGCAGTGCGATTGCGTGCATCTGAAATCAGTCGAAAGAAACTGCTGATCCTCTGACCTAGGAAAGCGAGGTTACAACAAATTTCGTTAACACGGGACGATTCACCAAAGCGAACAAATTTCAAACATGCACATCCCGGTGTTGTTTAGCCATAACACGCGATCTCTGCTTGAAAATCTGTCCCATTAATCCGTATTTGTAGAGTGCGAGATTATCAATTTGCACATCACAGAGTATGTCTGTTCTGTTCCTTGTCACAGAGGCGAAGGAGAGCGAGAGAGAGAGAGAGAGGAACTGCATGATTCAGATCGACCATCTTTTTTGTTTGAATGTGTGTGTCATGCTATCCCGGCGTTATTTGCACACTCCACTTTTTTATACAAGTTCAATGTAAGCTATAATTTTCGAATCACTATAAATCTTTCACATTTAATTCACAGTTACTTGTGAGTAGTTGTGTGGGATAATTGATACTGATTTGAACTGAACATCCTTCGGACTTCATCTTCATCCACAATCCTCAGTTCATCATGTGAACCATCTACTCGGATGTACTAGACTTGAGTTTTGCTCTCCTTAGGGCTCATGCATAGTGCATATCTACCGTCCTATCCGGGCTTTCAACCCCGGCCCAATCACATGGAAAGCATGTGTGTTATCACTGTGCCCAAGCCCGGAGAGGATGGTGGGTATGCACTACTGATGAGTTCTGATAAGAGCGAAACTCGAGTCTGGTGCTTCCGAGTGTATGCTCAGCTGGAAGAACATGGGATTGTACGTGAAGATGAAGGCTGAAGGATGCTCAGTTCAAATCAACTACAGATTTGTTGATCTTGGTGATATTCCTGTGTCCCTAACGTGTTCTTCCGGGGAATTGACATTTTTACTTGTTCCTTAATTCAACCCATTGTCACCTTTCTCTATTCTGTTGAAGATGACGTTAGTCGCCTCTAAGCTATGCCCGTTTCGAATGCATAGTCTCAACCCCATCAGTTAGTCCCATCGGATTGGTTGATTACGCCTTCCGATAAATCATGAAAACCTTCATCACAGGCATGTCATTGTAGCCCGAGATGATGGAGTTGCGAGGCGAAAACTGTATCCGGACAATAATCTGAGCCCCGGAAAGATGATCGCCGGGACAGATTTTCTTCCCTCCATTTTCTCACTTTGTGTTGTGGTCGGTCTAGACGTACGAATGACACGAACGACTCTTGCTTAACCCCCAACAACAACGTGGAGAGAGGACAAAGCTGGAGACAACCAGTCAGCGTGTAGTCATTGGATTGGAGTTCGATACGCAAGTATATAGATCAAATCACATTTAAGCGAACGGCGCAGCGACGCACCAGTCAGATTGTGTCCTTGACATATCGGTTGATCAATCGGACACATTGGGTGACTCATTCTGTGATCATCCAATCGGGCTCAGCCTGTCTGGAGCGTTGCGAGCGTGCATTTGGCGTGTCTCGGAGGCGTGCGCGATCTGCGAATTGGTAAAGCTCCGTCCTAACATTTTACTTCCATCTGATTTTTTACTTATATTTTGCTACGATATCGGCTATCCCGACACATTAAATACATTACTGGGGATTGCAGAGCCTCTACTTTCTTTATACAATTAAGTCGCACTGAAAAACGGCCGTTCGAAGTCAAGGACCACAATTCGAGCAAAGCTGTTACCAAAATCCTGAAGTGTTCACCTATCTGACTACGTTTTGTGTGTGTGTGTGTACAATGATCACTAGGCGCTCTTCTAAAACTTAGAACGTGAGTAAACATCTCCGTTGACGTTCCACATAACGGCAAAATTTTTACTTGATGAATCTATGCACGAACATTCCTCCCGGCACCGCTGAGTTTCTGGTCAATCAACTCTATGTTAAAGAGAGAATTCGTTATGTATATAGCAAATGAAGCGTGAACTAAAAAGCTAGGAAACACTGGACAGCTGTTTCGACCTGGTTGGCTCTCGTCAGTGCGAATCTATCAATCCATCTGGGGAGATCGAACTCGGCACCTCACAGGCAGAACGCAAGCATGCTACCCAGTCGGTCACCCTGGGGCAGCTAATCAGATCATTTTTCATTTTCCCTATATACAGTGTAGCTCAACCCATCTTTGCAACCAATATCTTCAATGTACTGCAACTCATTGAGGCCCACCAACAAAACGAGTGAATCAGGCAGTTTTCAGCTGAAGCTGTTAGGGATTTTTTTTGTCACACTGGCTCCCCTGTTCTCGGATTTGTTCCAGCAAATGTTTGGTTGAACGAAACATTCCTCTCTGCTAACGAGCGGTAAATATAACCCTGCTAAAATTCATCCCATCGCTTGTACTTTCTTCTGCATTGAAATTATTCGAACAGCCAGGTCAGCTTAGGTTGTCTAGACACTCTAATGTAGTGGAACATCTTCATATCGCACTGTACAATGATGATGATGAATCACTGGAATATCCACTTCACATGTCTTTGCATCACTGTTGCGCTTCGTTTTATCCACCATCGATAGAATGCTAAATCCAAGACTCTGCTGTCAGGACTACAGCAGTGCTTTTGATACTTTCTGTCCAGATAAATAACTTTCAGTCTGTTTTGGCTGATTCGAATATACCCTCCTCCGTCTTATGTATCTTTATAAACGGACCATTTAACTGACCATCAACAGTTTGCACATCATTATGGAAAGTTTTGTTCTTCTTCCTCCCCTAACTCTTTCAACTTGTGTTCTTCAACGATCCACACTGTCCCCGTTCTAAGTGTTCCGTGTGTGTGTCCCTAATGTCTGTGTCTTCCATTTCTTTAACGATGAAACATGCTGTTGACCGTTTTGCTTGAGTCGTCTTAAACAGAAAACTCATTTTTTCTTGTTCTAAAAATTACAGGTAACCCACTGGCCTTCATTGCACAAACCCTTTTTGAATCCGTGGAAATGTTCTGTGTTCGCTAAGCCGGATGTACGATACAGTTTTGTCAGATGCATCTTTTACACATGAAGAAACTGCGACTCTCCCCTCTTTTGCCTGTAACTTGGTGTCACTATAAACGCGATCAGGTCATTCCCAAGAGAGAGGAGACTTTCTTCTTTTGTTCGTATCGT